CATTTCACTTCTTAGAAAGGAAGAGTACTTAAAAGATTGCAAGTTCATATATAGCACAGGAAAAAGTTAATGTATTGACACTTCAACTAAATTTCCATCAAAACCACTGCGCAGGCCATTTTACTCTTTTTTTTTTTTTTTCCACTCTACTTTGTCTGACTCAGGGCTACACTTTGGTCCACATGCACTTCAGTCAATTCATGCCTGTACATGCCCTGGACAGGGTAGGAAGCAGGCAGTGTAAACCAGAGATACACTGAATCCTGGGATCAAACAATGAAAGGGTTTACACTCATTTCTTGCCCCATCTAGACACTGCTATACAGTATTGCTTCTATAGTGCAGCTGTCTACTGCTGGGACACACTCAAGTCACTGCTGACCAGGAGCAGTCTACCCGCACACAGAGGTGGGCAGCCTGACCGCAAAGCACCTAGAAAGCCACTGCAGGCTTTTATCAGTGACAATCATTGTTCTAGGATCCCAGCTTTGGTTTGAGGGACAGTGGGCGATAGGGAGGGATGTTAGCTGCAGAAGGGGTTTAGTTACTCCAAGAACAATATGATTTTACCTTCTGAAGGGCCTTGTACCTTCTCCAAAGCCTCAGACCACAGACCCCAGCCCATGGCCAAGACTTCCACCAGAGCAGACACCACCCCTCCAGAGCCTGTGTTCTATACTCGCAGAAGACCATGACCCGTGCTTGCCAGCCCGCAGGTGAACCAGCGTGTGCGCTCACAAAGTTCCGTGAGGGAAGGAAGAAACTGGCAACGGCTATTCAGAACCACGAGAAACCTGGCTGTCGTAAGCTGACGCACTCAAGGAAGGTGTAGGTAGGCTGTGCCATGCAGCTGAAGGCAGGCTGTTTGCCTTCTTCATAAATTCCAAAATGAAGATTCAGCTTTCCAGAGAACTTTTCTATCCTTCAGACCTACTGGCATCCCTGGGCTACCGTGTTCCACTGCCAGCCCTCCCATCCCAGCCATAGACCAGAGTCGCAGACAGGAGCTGTGATACTCAGTACGCTGCGTGGGCATAGTTCATTGAGCAACAAATGCCTTTTAAGGGCTTGATCCCACAGCTCATTCCACATGTGCCTGTGCTGCTGAGGGCCGGACAAGCCGACGTCATGTGCCTCCTGAGGGGCCGCACCCAGGGGGACACACCACTTCTGCAACATTCCTACCAAGAATGCAAAACTTGATTATCATTGCGCAGAAACATAGGACAGATCAAATTCAGGAAGCCCATAAAATTACCACTGCCCTGACCCTTCAAAAATGTCACTGACACAAAAGACAAAACAATGAGGAACAGCTCCAAATTAATGGAACCAAAGGGATAAAATACCTCACAATGCTATGCTTAATCCTCAATTTTGGATCTTGGGCCAGAAAATACCATTTTAAAAGAAATTTTGTTAAGCAGGATATGGATAGGACAAGTGGTAAAGTCTGAATAATATCAAAGATCAGGTAACAGTATTTGTAACACCATTATTTTCCTAATTTGGACCATTACACTATAGTTATGTAAGATAATATTCCTTTTCTTAGGAAATATACACTGAAGTATTCAAGAGTAGGTAAAGAGTCATCATGTGTGCAGTTTATTCTCAAATCGTCTGGCACGCATACAGAGAAGGAGAACTTTAAAACACACGTGGCAGACATAACAGGTTGGTTCTTTATACCCTTCTTGCAACGTTTATTTGAGTCTGAAACTATTTCAAAACCCAAAGTTGTCCAAAGTCCATGTAACTTGTTTTAGTAAAACTCCAAATGAATAGAGGGGGTGGGTCACCTGGGAGAGGGAGGCTGAATCGGAGAAGGAGGCTGAATCGGAGAAGGGGACATGCACAGAGACTGGGGCTCCCCTGTGCCTCTCACCTCCTCCTTCAAGGACTCAGCCTCCAGGGCTCCGTGTCATATGCTTCCCCACTGCCCTTAAGTGGACTGAATACATGACAACTACATGACAACTTCCTCTATTTCTCTAACTGGAAAAACGGGAAAATATCCTATCAGGCTTTGCAAGGCTCATGGTAACAGAAGACTTTAGAAAAGGTATTGTTATCAGTTAAAGCAAACAAATAAAGACGGTAAATATTTAAAAAGCTAACATCCGTCCTAAAGCAGTACAGCAATGTATTCGGGCTCACTAAGAGGTGATAATTCCCTCATGAAGACAGCACATGATTTTAACTCATTATTTTCCAAACTGGCCCTCATTTCCTCCCCAGATATCTGTCCCCAGTTTTCAACAAGGAACCATTAGTGTGATCACAGTGGACTGCTCTTATTCTAACAATTACCAAGACAGCAACTACCCGTGGCTTTGGAGGTCTTGGAGGTCCTTGTGTCATTATCCAGAGTTTCATCCAGTGTTTTCAATTGGATTATAAAATTATACTTCATATTATAAAATCTAAAGAATGTATTTACCTTCAATTTAGAAAAATTAGGTTATAACCTAGAATCTACCCCTACTTCTTCCTCCCAATATCTCAGCCTATCAAAAAGGCAAAAGCCCTTTATTATTAGCGAATGCATTTTTGCACTGGATTTTTTTTAAGATATACAAAACAAAATGCAAAATAACAAAATCCTACAAATAGTGTAATGAGACAAACAAATTTGTTTTACCAAAAGTGTGAAGAGTACTTAAGTCAAATCTTGCTTTAAAAAGACACAACCATCTTAAACATACACACGAAAATGTTCTACTGTGAAATAACACTGGGAGGTGAGGAGGGGAGGCAGGCTATGAACTTGGTACATGCCTCTATCTCATACTCAATGGAGAGGCAAGGTACAAAGACCACTCAACAAGCTACCTTTGTCTTGCATATGACAAACTATTCAACATGTGACAGCCTTTGTGAGGGGATAGCCAGGGTATTAAATGTGCCCAATCCCCACGCCATTCTTTGCCCAGGTCTTGTCACTGACCACACATGGCCACTGTGGAGGAACAACTGGGCAGGCCCACAAGAAAACCTGTGGAGTCATTCATTCCAACTTCATGGTTTAAATAGAAATTTTACCAAGTATCCTTAAACATATCCACTCAGTGGCCAAAGGTTCTGATATAAGCTCTGAGAGGGGAGCACTATGCTGGCTCGCCTCAGTGTCCAGGGCTCCTGGCATACACTATGTGGGCATCAGGGCCTAGCGCCTCATCCCTCTCAGGCAGCCCTATTTAAGGCAGATCCAGCTCCAAGGGCACCCACAAAGCCCCTTCCAGACCAGAGAAGAAGATAGGCCAGCAGGATGGTCGGTTCATGGCCTGGGCTGAGAGAGGTCTCCAAGCCCATCAGAAATGCCCTGTCCTGCAGGATTCTGTATACAACCCCAGAATCAGGACTCAAGATATATACATCTATCCTCCTGAAGGACCTCTTTCCTCCCCACCTCTATCCTGAACACACAGTAGCCCTGCTTCTCATCAGGAAAGCCAAGTTCAGTCACACAGAGGAACACCAAAATCCCTTTAGATAAACTGAAGCAGAGGAACGGTGACTTGCTAACAAACGATAAAATCAACCAACTTTCAAAAGAAAAAAATGACTATTTCAGATCAATGCCAATAAGAAATTAATGTTCTGTGAACTGGTCTGTGTCAGGTAGAGGATACCAGGATTTTGCCAGCTAAAGACAGTATCGTAAGAAATTCCTAAGCCCATTCATCACTGTGATGTTTCCCATTTGGTGACAGAATCACTACTACAGCACACTTCTCAGCAAACACACACACCCCACCCTCCCCACAGGAAGGCAGAAAGAGGATCGGATGGATTACCAGAAGTTTCCTGACTCCCTTATAGAGACTCTGTAGTCAAGAACTGAAAAGACTTCCTTGTCACAGGAAAATGTCTATTTGTCTAAAAGAAGATTAAAAGGCATTGTATATAGACAGGAAAATAAGGATACAAAGCAATTAGCAAGGAGCATCATTTACTGGGCCAATAAGCTGGAAAAAAGACCAACATCTTAAAGTGAAATATGTAAACACGGGTATACCCTAAGCATGACCTCTCTCTAGAAAAAAGGACAGATCAAAAATAATCTTTAGTAAGTACTCATAGGAAACAACAATATTCAGGAAAAAAAGAGCTAGAAATGACAAAACAAGAGTCAGTGAAATTAACAACTGTGTGTCTTCCTTTTGGAAAAAAAAAAATCAATCCAAGGTATCTTCATATGAGGTGTTAACAAATTTGTGAACAAGTCTAACATCGTATCACACATTTGGTGGCGTATCCCAGAGGAAGCAGTCGCACGTGCTAATGACCCTAACTCCAAGTTAAAGTCTACACATTTCAAAATACATACCCACCAGGCAAAATAAATCAAAAATACACAAAGATGATATAATGCTAATTTTTTTTAAAATCAAGAACAAAGCTCAAAACTTGAGTAGCACTCAACCACCCTATTTCAAATTCTTGCACACTAAATCTCAGGCTACTAATTAGCAGTTTCCTAATATATTTCAATAAATAAATGTCCCAGGACAACAATGGACTCTGAGAGAGGGAATGGCTCCCTGCTCTACCCAGCAGGTCACAGGACCGTCCTTTGTATCAGCACTAGCATTGCTCTGTTAGGCTGAGTGGAATTCAGTTAAATTTCTTTAACTTTCGCCAAACTGCCTAAAGGGAGGGCAGAAACACCCTCTATGGACTGAAGACTTTATTAATAACATTTACGTGGGACTATTTCAAAGCCTATTCTGGGATCGATGTTTTCAAATCTGTGCACGTAAAATTCTTCTGCTGCCTCCTACTGTATTTTACTTAATAGCCACCCCCTTAAATTCCGTCATAAAACAGAGACTAGGAAAGAAGCAACAATGGAAAGGTCACATGTGGGCGACATTGTTCACATCTCCATTTCCAGGACTAGCATGTAGTTATGATCAATCATTTTCTCTTTTTGAAAAATATGGGGTGGAAGGGGCGGGTGCGAGGAGAAAACGGAGTAAAGAGGAGATCATTACCCTCGTTGGGTAGTAAGCGTTAAACTCGTCTCCAATACGCCGCAACTCTTGGGCGATCCACATCTCCGGGCGCAAATCTGCAGGTTCGGCCTGAGACTGCCTCATGGAAGCTGCATTAGAAAAAACAAAATGGAAATCACTTTGTGGTCCATGGATCACTGAGAGAGTTCCAAAGGTGAGTTTCTAGAAGCAAGCCCGTCTCACACACTCTTTGTTGTTTCTGGAAGCTCCCTAACTTCAAGAACTACCACGATGCACTGAGGATTACAGTGGCAGAGTCAACCATGTAACTTTGGTGAAAAGAACAAGCAGTACAGAATCATTTCCCTTTTCAAACTGGAGATTCCAAATTCCAAGATTTAAAAACATTAAAGCCCATTCATACAACGCTTCCATTTTGAGAAAGAACAACAACAACAAAAAGGCACAGTAAATATCCCCTAAGAAATATCCTTGAAACGTACAGGGTGGACATAAAATTCATGTGCCATTAGAACATAACAATTTAGTCTGTTAGCAAAATAACCACATTAATTTTATCACCAGAAAAATTTCAAATAGCACTCCGGAATATGAGATGAAATGGCTGTCCCATGCAAAGCAAAATAAACAAAACCCTGAGAAACCGGGTTCCCTTGGAAGTGGGTACAGTGTTACAGACAGCCAGGCTTTAGCAGTGCTACCAAAGGGCCAAATAAAAGCGTAATTGCATGTTTTATCTCAATATTAGTGCAGCCAATAAAGATGGGTTCAAGTCTGCAAACAGCACATGGGGAGAGGAAATGTTTTAGATCTAAGAGCAATGGCATTTTTCAAAGAAGAAAAAAGAGGGAGGATCCCCCTTCATTAGGCTGTCATTAACACTCACACCCAGGACATTCATCTGTTTGCTAATGAGACCATTATAAGCCTGGTGGCAGCCAAAAGTGAAGGAAAACACAAATGTCAGTTGTGCGGAGATCCCATTATGCATCAGGAAGATAATATTCTCCATGTAGGGAAAAGCATCACAGTCCGGGGCCAACAGTACATACAAAGAGCTAAGATTCCTGGATTTCGACTGCCATTCACACGCGCCTCGAGTTACCTGACTGTGAAGGGAGGCATGATTAAACATGTTATGTTCTAACCAGAGCAAAATATGCAAAAACCTGTAATTGGACTTCAAAATACCACGAATATAGCTTTCTGTTTTGTATTTTTGTACAACATCAGTAAACATGATGTTGATTCATACCTCTACACTTCAAAGAGCTTTCCCCAGTTCTTCTCAAAACTCTTGCCCCATCTTCTCTGTCCCCCCAAGCCCCAACTAAGTGAATTTAGCAACAGTAACACAAAGAAGAAAGCCTGAAAGAGGCAGGAAACAGCAGGAACCCTAAGGGTTGGGGTGGACAGGTGGGGGGCACATAGAAATCCCGCCCCAGAGTTACCTGCACTCTGTGAATAAGCCAGAGGGAAAGATGCCAAAAATGGCCCTGGTGGAGAAGAAAGGCTGATTGGGGGAGAGGAGCACTTCAGTAAGCCTGGCACAGCCCCTGCATATACATCCAATCATATAAAAAATTCCTCTGGCTGAACCTTTGTTGCTCAAATAATCCTAACGTTAATCTGCAAAAGTCTATTTCATTTTGAACAACTAAAATGGCAGAAAACAAAATTTCTGAGTAGATGTGAAGCCAGGTGATCACGGTGTCACAGTTGATTTCCTTTTCCTGAGTTTACAGCCCTGTAAGGATTTACTCTGTCACAGGACCCAATCATTACTGCTCCTATTACACTATCAGCAATCAAGGGCTCCTACCCTGACCCAGAAGCTTTTAAAAAGTTAGCTCATCCTTACAGACAGAGAAAGGGTCTTTTGCTTGAGTGCTGACTACATGAGGGTCTCCTGTAATCTTCCTCAAGGCCCCGGAGGGAGATGGGCACCTACCTACATACATGGGTTAATGTCCACCAAGCAGGACCCCATGTGGTTGCTAACAAACCACCATCACCCACCTCTCCAGGGCTTTAGAGTCTCACCTGTTTCTTACCACACACGGTTGACAGAGAAAACTGTCTTTAACCCCAGAGTCAGAAGCAAAGACAATGCCAATTATAAAAAGGAAATTGGTGAAATACAGATTGATGTTTTTAAAAGTTGGCTGACTGGTAAAAACTGCTGGCCAAGTTATTTCATGTTCAACAAATCAAGATATTGACTAATCTATTCACGTCCACAAGCCAAACGTTCTAGAAGATAGTCTGGGTACAGCACAGGAGGAGGCTATGCCCTGCTCCCAAGGGGCTTAAGTTTTTGTGGATTAATTTCAGCCAACTGTTCAATTTTTCTCAGACAAGAGTATTTACAATTTTTACTTCTTATAACACAAAACAAAAATAACTC